GGAGCATAAATTGCACTCGAAACTTGAAGACAAAACCTAACAGGATTTGTACATAAAATCAAACATCAGTACATACAGAACAGAACACAATGAACATGTATTTTTAGAATTAAAGAACTTTGGATAACTTTCTTATTTTTCAATACTCCATGTATATCACATCCTACGACCCCAAAGTATAGTTTTTACTCTATCCTGCTAACAGGGGCACTAAATGGGAAGAATCCAGCAAACACACTCCCCTTCCACGCCAGTCTGTCCACAGACCTGCTGAACTCTCCAGGGTGGGCTCCTTTTACCATTACTGCGACTCATCCCAGATGCTCTGAGAAAAATCCCCTGGACTCAAAGCTGTGCATCTTTGTCAGGAAGGACTCTTGCTAGAACCATTATACAAAGGAAGTAATAATTTTTACTGGTGTCAAACTAATGCAGAAGCTTGTGTTGTGTTTCCCTGTGCAGGGATAGACCTGCCAAATGTCACAAACATCCAAAAATGATGTGAGCCAGGAAGAACTGGAGACTCCCTCTCTAAATTCCTGTTGTATATATTGTGAGGATTGGGTGTCTTGTGTCCAAGAGGACTTTGGATACCATCTTATCCACTTATCAGACACCCTTACAACAACAATAGTAATAATGATTTATTGGGTACTTACTTTGTGCCTGCATTATTAATCCTTCCAAGGGTTCTGTGAGATAGATACTACCACTATATTCATTAAAGAAACAGGGTCATAGAGAAGTAAGAAACTTGCCCATGGTCTCCAAATACGTGACATCTCTTATGAGGACAAGAGAACAGAGATACCCAATCCTCTCACCATCAAACCTGTAGCAACTAAAGAGGACCCCAAAATGGAATAAATGAAAGTTCTTCCAAGCACTAAATATCTGAAGATGCTTTTTCTCTCTTGTTATTTTTAAATTTAGAAAGGGTTTTTGGAACTGTGTCTCTTGGTAATGACAACCTGTAATCATTCTGCTCCAGGAATCAAGTGATGTGTTCAGAATATGTCATTTTCCCCTGTGACACTAATGGCAAAACCACACTCTCCACCAATGCAGAGAATGACTGAGAGGGCTAGAGAAGTGTGGTCTCTTGGTTTTCACTCAGCAGTCTGAGCCAGGCATTCTTGGCTTTCACTCCACCTCCTTAAGCAATAAGCTACACTTAACCTCTTCACCCATCTGCGAAATGCTGATGCTACCTTTTTACCTCTTTAGTAAGCTCCAGTTTTCAAAAGACCATGAAGATGAGACATATAGAGGGCATGGGTTTTCCGAGAACTGTTTCCTTGGAACAGTCACAGTGGGTTTAGGTGGTGAAGGCTTGAATCTGTTTTTAACTTAAAATTGTCTATACGGGTTAAACAGTGGGAAACTCTGTAGTTGAGTAATTAGAATACACACATCAGGCTGGGCTTCCTGGTACAAATTGAGTTCCCTAAAGTTTTAGAGCAGAGTAGCCTTCAGCTTTCTCGCCTTGGTATTCCCATCTACTTATAACAGTATCTATATGATGTAATTCTCTCTCTCTTTTTTAAAAAAAACCTTTTATTTATTTTCATTTGAAAGGCAGATTTACAGAAAAAAGGATGACAAAGAGAGAGTGTCTTTCATCCACTGGTTCACTCTCCACTAGGCTGCAATGACCAGAACTAAGCTGATTGAAACCAGGAATCAGGAGCCTCCTGAGTTGGTGCATGGTCCCAAGGCCTTGAGCCATTCTACACTGCTTTCCCAGGCTATAAGTAGAGAGCTAGACTAGAGCAGTCAGAACATGAACCAGTGCCCATATAGAATGTTGGTACCAAAGAGTGGAGGATTAGCCAATAGCTATGGTGCTAACCCCGTTGTAATCCTCTTGACAACCATATCAAACATCAATATTTTCCCTTATTATAGATGAAGAAAATATTCTATGAAACTGCTACATAATAGTCTTTAATAAAATGTTATAGGTAGATACATACATATTTGCATGTGTATGAGCATATACATAGGTGTAGTGATAGCTTCCACAAAGAGCAAACAAAACAGCATATATGCAGTAGCCATGCATATGGAGTAGACTGTTAGATGTAAAATCACTAGATTTGACAATTTTAATTCAGTGAACTTTGAAAAAGCAATAATAACTATGCTGCTACCGAATACATGAATGAACTTGAGAAAATAATTGCAGCTCTCTGGAAATCATTTTCCTTAACAAGCAAATGAGGTCAGTGGGCTGAATAAGAAACAATAATCCTTTGACCCAGAGTTGCTTTGTTGGGCTTTGTTCTTTCATCTTAACAAAGCTTAGGAAGAAAAGTAAAATTTCCAGTCAAAGACAGTAATCACAGTCTGCACACTTTAACTCTTGCTTCCCTTTCCAAATTGTACAAGACAGCTAAACTAGTAGACTACTAGACTGTATTCTCATGCTCAATAAGACACTGTGAGCACAGAATTCAGAAAAACACCTATGTTGGAAGATCTGAAGGCCCGATTCTTGGTGGATGTCCTGAGAAAGCTTTTCAGAGAGACCATGTGCCCACGTCTCTTCTGATAAGGCTGAGGATATGTCAGACAACCACCCTGGGCTTTGCCACTGGGCTATGGGTCAGGGCCAGCAGTCACCACAGGAAATCTACTCAGCTTTTAGGGCGGGAAGCCTGGCTGCTGTTTGAGGCATATTCATCCCACATTAAATACCACATATGACAAAGTAAGAATGCTAACTTCTGTCTTCTCTTTGGCATACGAAGCTTGCAACAACAAAGCTAAAGCACCAAAACCAAAACAAAAACAACCTAGACTCCAAGTAGACTCAGAAGATGAGCATTTTGAACAATCAGAAGCAATCTAAATGGATATGAATGCCTAGGCCTTCTGATGAGGCTCATAAATCCCTTACTGTCCTGCCCCTCCCAAGTCCCCAGAGGCTTCCAGCAGTATTGCATAAAATATCTGTAACATGTTCTCTCATCTTCTGGCCAAACTCTCATGCATGGAGCATAGAGTCAATATGAAGCAACACTAGGAAGTCTCAGATTGTATGAAAATGTGAACAGATAAGATCTGATTTCGGTTTTGATCCGATACATATCCCCTCCATGCCCTTGAAGGGAGCAAGCAGGTGTCAGCCTGTATTACCTCTAAAATTTTGACTCCAAGGGGGAGCAGAGTGAGCAAAACAGGAATCTTAACAGATGCAACGGGCCACGTGTAGTTTCATTGTACCACTGGATGTTTCAGATATGCGTGGCTTGATCTTTGAGGTATGTATGTGCTCTTGGCAGGGTTAATCAGATTTTCTCTATTTAGCCCTTCCCATATCTGAATAAAAAGCCTCTGTGCATTGAGTCTAACAACATCTAGAGACTGAGCAAGACTACAAGCTTGGATGATGGCTAGAGACACTTCAGAGCTTGGCAAGTGCCTTGGCGCCTACTGAAGGAAAAAAACCACGCAAACTTCTCAGGTTTTATGGTTCTGTTTAGAGGAAGGCAGCAAGATAAACTGCATGGCGTACCTCTCTCTGTGTGTCTGTTTGTCTCTTTCAAATGAATGATGAACACTCAAATAACTGAAATACACGTGAAGTGTTGTGGGAACTGATTTGGTCACCTGAGACACCAGCCTGAAGGTAATTATTGCAATTCCCACGAGATGTTGTTTAGTTCCTGCAAGCCATTATAAAAAGTGCAAGCTATGGGCCTGGTTCTGTAGCCTAGTGGCTAAAGTCTTGCCTTGCATGCGCCAGAATCCCAAATAGGCACCGGTTTGTATCCTGGCTGTTCTACTTCCCTTCCAGCTCCCTTCTTGTGCCCTGAGAAAGCAGTGGAGGACGTCCCAAAGCCTCGGGACCCTGAACCTGTGTGGGAGACCTGGAAGAAGCTCTTGACTTCAGACTGACTCAGCTCTAGCCTTTGCAGCCACTTGGGGAGTGAAGATCTTTCTCTCTGTCTCTCCTTCCTTCTGTAAATCTGACTTTCCAAAACAAACAAATAAAGCAAACAAACTAAAACAAGCCATGCTCATGAATCTGACTTCTCAACATAGGGCTGCTCTCTCTCTGTCAACACTTACTGTCATGTGAAGCCACCCACTATGCTGGGAGAGCAAGGAGGCCCTCGCCAGAACCCAGCAGAGCTGATGTCTTGTACTGTGTCTCCAAAATTGTGAGTTAAACAAGCCTCTTTTCTTCTTAAAGCCTCCAGCCTCAGGTATTTTTTTATAGCAAGAGAAAACTGACCATCACACTTGCCCTTCCTTGTTTTGCAACATGTCCATAAAGAAATCTGTCAATAATTCCACATTTGCTCCACAGAGTTTCTCTCATATGGGTCAATCCCTTTTGAAAAAGTGTGCAGTGTCATTTATATAAACACACTGTCTTCTCCCTCCAACATACCATCCTCATTGAGAATAATGATTTGATTTTGTACTTCAATTCTCATTAAAACATTATTGTTATTACATGGCTTTGGTAAAATACAAAGCAATGTTTGGGTAACTCAGATCTAACCATTTCTTTTATGCTAGCATTTTCCCACACCTGATTAAATTTTCTTTCATTTTATGATACCCAAGCCCTCCCTTCTTAGTCTCTTCCTTGTATGTATGACAGTAATTCAAGTTCTTACCTCCTTCTGAGTTCATTTCTATGGCTCTGAAAACTTAATCCACAAAATAAATTCAATTTAAATAAAAGAAAAATATATAGTCCTCCAAGTTTGCTCACATTTTGCTCAAAGTTAGCCAACAGAGTCACCAGATTTATTGTTAATGTGATTTAGTCATTTCTAGAATTCAACCAACATCAGGAAGTTTCTATCAAAAGTCACCACAGAGCAAACCAAGAGAAAGGCCCACATGCAAAGTACATGGCTCAAGCTCAAAAAGACAGCTATTAGATTACAATGACTGACAGGTTAGAGCTGGCATCACACAAACCTCAGCACTTCTCAGGAGGAGAGAGGCTACATGACAAGGATAGGAAGTGTCCTTACCTGTCTTCTGTTAGTTTCATTAAGGTTGTTCCTCGAGTAGAGAAGACAATAAAGGACATTCTTAGCTGTGGGCTGGAAAGGAAAAGAAACTCCATGAGGGTGACTGGCCAGTGGCAGGCTAGTTCCTTCCAGGGTTTTCCTGCCTGCTTTCCTCCTGCAGCTACCACAGCTGAGGACCCACAACCCAAAGGGGACCCTAAGTTGGTGTTGTCAGTGTTTAGTCAGCTGCGGATAAGACACCGTGTCCCAGAAGAAGAACTCATTCTATCTTTTTGGAGGCTGCTTTTGAATTGACACCGTAACCCAATGAGGGTAGATTGTATGTATTGTAAGAAAGATAAAAGTTATTGCCATCCTGTGCTGTCTGAAGAAGTGTGGTCCTAGAACAGGACTGGCCTGCTTGGCATCTGTAGCAAGGGGGAAGACAATGTTGTCAGGGTCTTCACTGTAGTCCAGTGTATTCTACACTGAAATGTGTCTCAGACTGTTGCAGGTCGACACCATCAGAATTAACATCACACAGCAAACTTTCTTTGCTCTGAATGTGGGATTGTCATCAGCTTTTAATGAGCTGAGTGGCCATGAGAGTATCTATTCCACTTGGGAGATACACTTCTCAGTATTAGGGAATGAGCAAATCTTGGATATTACATGGAAATGCTTAGGAGCACTGTCAAGGTAAAATTCACACTTTGGGAGACAAAAAAAAATTTCAGCCAGCTGAGGCCCAAAAGTCTTTCGATGAAGTGGCAGATCAGATGAGTAGATTCAGCAAGGTAACACAAACCTGTAGGGCTACCTCTACACAATGCAATCAACCCACACTTCTAACATGACTCCTGCTCATCTGGATTCCTCCTGTCCCACCCTGGCCCTCTCCTAGCCTAGAACTTTGGCCTCAATCCTTTGACCACTACTGTGCCCTTGCCTAGCTTCACTCCTGCTCCTATTCATTCTTCACATTGCTCTTAGAATTATTTCCCTAAAATATAAATCAGATGTTGTCAATTACCTACTATAAAACCCTCAGTGGCTCCTACTGCCTTAAAGACGAAGTCTACATTGGCTAATGTACATGTGATGCTACTTGCAAACCTTTGCATGGTGTTTTATATTCAACAAGAGTCCAAGCTGTATCTGGTGAATTGAGTATCAGTCTCCTCGTTTTCTGACCAGAACACAATTCTGCATCTAGTACGTCAACAGTGCCAGGACAGCAAGACATTGTCTCATAAATACTGACAATCATAAAGATTATAGTAACATGTTACTGGTCAGTCTTATCAAGCTCTTACTACATGCCATCTACCATTGTAACTTATTTGTATGGGTGGTCTCATTAAACTTGGGACAACTTGATGAAATTGATATTTTCTTCCTACTTTCCATGAAAGGAGAATGAGGTCCCGAGAAATGAAGCTAAGCATACCGATTCTGGAATGTGGACTCTTAGACACTTTATTGTAATGTTTGGCTCATACTGAGTTCAGCTCTGGAAAGAATGAATTCAAAATGTGGGAATTGTAGGGCTCCAAGAAGCAACAGGTCTGTGAGTCTAGATTAGAAACAGCACTTGGACGTCATTAGCACACTGATGTGTATAAACTGATGTGTGGAGAAAGTACTGGCCATGAGCAGAGAGAACTTAAACTGACATGGAAATGGCTGGCTAATACCAGTGAGATGAAAGAAAAACCAGAAGTTGGTGGTAGAGACAGTTGCAGGGGGTTAAGTCTGCATCGCTTGAGCCCCCTCTATCTGCCTGACGAAGGGTAGCAAGGTGCACACTGGATTTGTCCCAGAGGATATCCCAGGTAGCTGAATGAGTGGATCGAGATGAATGGTGGTGGGAGAAGGAGTGAATGGGAAGCAAGAATATCAGTATCAAGTCTCCAAGGCTATTTAAATGTGAAACCAGTAAAACAAACAAACAAATAAAAACCAAATAGAGTAGTATTTCCAGGAAGTCCTGGTCTGGAGCTCCATTGTCACTGTTATTTGGGGGAGAGGGAGCAATGGGCAGGAGAGATTAGTCTATGTCTGAAGACTGGGAATGAAGCCGAAGGAATGTAAAAACAGTACAAGAGAAAAACAAAGACCTGCGGGAGATTGAAGACAATGGTGTAAAATGTGACTAAAATGGAGAGGTTGACCTTAAGCAGGCAGGATACAGGGATTTCAGAGGTTAACGGGAAAGATTTATGTACATCTTTCAGGAGTAAGGATTGAAGCTTGAGGGTATCCCTTTGGTGCGGTCCTCTCTGGATTCTTGGTCAAGTGAGAAGTGAAATTCTCTGTTGAGTGTGATAGGTGTGAGGAGGTACAGGCTTGGGGCTTGAGGAAAGTGATAAGAAATTAGAATCAGTGTTAGGAAAATGGGAAGGGTCCACACAGAGTGAATTTTACCTGACATGTCAAGAATCCCTCTGAAATCAGTTGTGTTATATCTGTGTGGGCATCAGCCACTGCTATTGAGTGAATTTTCCCAGTATCAAACTAGTGCTTTAGATTAGTTATTAAAATGAATAACCAAAAACCACCCATTCAGTCAGTTACTCAATAATATTGCCTGAGCATGTGGCATGCATCTATCGCTATTGTAGGCCCTTGTGTTATGACAGCCATTGAAACAGCCTGCTTAAGGAGTTTGCATGACAATGTCTAAATGTCTTTGTGCCACCCTTTGGGGGACTCATTCCAAGAAGGAGACATGGTTTGGATTAATCCCTGCAAAAGTCTCTGATTTTTAATTAATTCATATAAAGAAAAGGAATTGGATTAAGTGTTCTCTTAGTCCCTCCCTCTCACAACTTTCTCTAAAACAGTATAGAACCTGGAGTTGCTGACAGGCTGCAAAGGAGAAGTGCTGTGTGCCCATTCTAACTCACTGGGCTGGCTGGTTTGCACTTGCTTTTTTTTTTTTTTTAACAACCCAAATGTGTACTCAGGGTTCAGGCAAGATAAGCAAACCACTATAGTTGCACAATGGAGTTTGAATTCAAATCCAACATCTACCTAACTCAAATGCTTTCTCACCAGCTCCCTGTACTTGAGGGGAAGTAGAAGAGAAGCAGAACAACTACAGACACAGCAGGTACTGTCAAGCATCTGGAGGCAGACATGTCTTACATCACTGTCAAAGGCCAATGGAGGAGAGTTCAGGAAAGGAGTCTTTGGTTCAATGACAAAAAAGCTATTCTAAAAGTGGAACTGCCCAATGACTGGACCATTTTCCTGAAAAAGCAGCAGTTTCTTGCCAGAGCTATTTAAGAAGAAGGTTATGAAATGCCTTCTGCATTTCCGATAGGTCAGAAAGATGTGCCTTTCAATCTTAAGTTTCTAGAATTCTTTGTCTCTCTGTTTTAAGATATCAATCAAGGGCCTGGTGCAGTGGCGCAAGTGGTTAAAGTCCTCACCTTGCACGCCCGGGATCCCATATGGGCGCCGGTTCTATCCCGACAGCCCCGCTTCCCTTCCAGCTCCCTGCCTGTGGCCCGGGAGAGCAGTCGAGGACAGCCCAAGGCTTTGGGACCCTGCACCCAAGTGGGAGACCCGGAAGAGGCTCCTGGCTTCGGATTGGCATAGCATCGGCTGTTGCCCTCACTTGGGGAGTGAATCATCAGATGGAAGATCTTCCTCTCTGTCTCTCCTCTCTGTCTATCTGCCTTTCCAATAAATAATAATAATAATAATAATAATAAAGATATCAATCAAGCATTTGCTTTTCTCCTTTTCCTGTAAAATTTATCCCCTCTTCCCACTCAGCACTGCCTTTTCCAACTGTGTGAGTTTAGGTGTTTCCTGATATAGTTTTCAATTTTGAGCAGTGAAAAATGATTACTCCTCAAATCTTTCCTTCTAGTTCAACTGGTGTGTATGTGCTGATCAAAAACTGAATGTGGAAGGAATGTGTTTTTGTGCCTTATCTTATTCTGAGATAAATACCACTACTCAAGGTTGAACTTAATGATCACTCATTTCAACTGGAAGACTGTGGGAACTGGAACTCGCAATGATCAAACTTGCCTCAGGCATTGTCATGGAAACTGTCACAGCTGTGTCATCTCTTGGAGGCTACACACAGGCAGGGTGAACTAACTTCCTTTCTTTTGGCAGTAGATGTCCAATTTACTAAAAAGTACTTCCTCCAACACTCCCACAATAGTTAAATGAGTATGATTAAAATGGCATGACCTTGCATGGGAAAGTATGTTGAGAATGCTCAGTGGCAGGGCACATAGCTGGAATGATCAAGCGACAGGGTTCTCAAGGTGTAAGACTTCTGGTGCTAAAACTCATACAGTTCTAGACAAAGTGGATTCCCCAGGCATAAGAAGAACTAGAATGTGCCAATTGCCCCAGCATGGGACACTGTGCAGGCCTAATGTCAAAGATGCCCTAACAAGAATGTCCTACCCCACAAAGAGGGAAAACAAAATGGAGTAGGCAATCTATCTGAGATGTGGAGGTCCACCTTTGTCAAAAAACAGCCCCCAAGGAAGTGCTGATGAGCAGAACAGCCAAGGCGGGCTGGTTTCACTCATGGCAGAGAAGGTGAAGGTAAGTCCTAGTACTTCATACCTGATGAATTTATGAGCCAGCTGTTCCACAAAGTAATAGATTTCATTCCAGTGGTGTAGCACACTTCCAGACCTGGGAAAACAAAAGCAGATATTGCATGAGCCTGGTATTTGTTTCTCTACCCAGTGTTATTTCTCTTCCAATTCCATGGCTTTACAGTCGGCCTATCCATTAGTTAGGCTCATCACCTGCAATATTGAGGCTTTCAGAAATAATTTGAAAATAAATTTAGGCTATCTGTTAAGAGTTCTCAACATTGTAGTTAATGAACTCCCCCACTCCACACTCACACATTGGAAAGGAAACAAACTGTAGGCCCAAGAGGTTCACAGGTTATTTTCAACTCTGGTAGAAATCATTTTCTTTTGTGCTATTTGCATTATTTTCCTGATTGGCAAGGGAAAACTATTCCAATTCATTTAAATGAAGTTAGTACAAGGACATACCTAACCCTTCCCCCATCAAATAGCTCAATTTCCCTTGTAAATATAGATGCAAAGATGCAAGCATTCTAGCAAAAACACTACACAAAACAAAACGACGTTCTCTCAAAAAGTAAAATGAACAAAACTGATTCAGCAAGAACTCAAAAGAATAGGAGTTAATTGGCTGGTAGAATTTATTTCAGGACATTGTTCATGGTTCTACATGTGAGAAAATGTATAGTGATTGGTCTTGTTTACAAACAAAATTAAAAAAAAAAACTATAGAGCCTGCCTCTATATGAAAAGTGAAACTGCTTACTGAAAAAGGAGACCACACAGAGCCATAGAATTTCAGGTCTTGAAAAGAATCTCATTATTTCCTGAATTTGCCCACAATTCCCCTGGTATCACTGCCTACTGCTTCAATTCAGCTTATCAAATTTCTGTAGTGCTCGTACTCTGCGTGCTGCAGTGAGCCTGTGGTAATTTTCCTATTTGAATCCACTCCTTTCTGTAGGTGGAGGCATCCTCTCCTCCATTCGCAGCTCTGCTCACGCGCAGGTCTGCTCAGCCTATTTCTGCACATCTGCCATCTGTCTTAATAGTTGTTCAGGTTATAGGCTGTTCTATTGCAAATATTTTCCACTGGTTTCCACTTGTATTTATTTACGTACTTTATCTTATTTACTCATGAGGCAGAGAGACAGATCTTGGGGATCCTGTCAGCAGGCCCCGAGGCTACCAAGGAATGAGGCGACGGTGTTCTTTGGAGGCAAGAACCACAGGATGATCTGGTGGGGGGTCTCCATGTATTGTGCACAAGCTACAAGTTTATAAAGGATAGGGAAGGGGAGGGCTGGAAGGCTTCTCCTAACAGCCCACCCACCCACTAAAGACACTGTAATTGGCTAGAAGGCACATCTATTCCCCTACACCCTCTAGTCATGTCAGATGTTTTGCACACAGGGTTGGAAGCTGTGCCTTGGGTCATGGACAGGTAAGGTGTGAATCACACCCACCAGACAGCTGCCAGAGACCCGGGGTGATCTCCCATAGAGAGACACAGAGCTATGGGCTGGTTCACATTCCAAATGCCTTAACTGCAGGGGCTGGGCCGGGCCTGGTCTGGGCCAAAGCTAGGGGCCAGGAAGTCAATCCAGATCTCCCAGAAATCCAATCACATGAGTAGTCCCTGCCATGTCCCTGGTCTTTATTAGCAAGAAGGTGGAGTCACAGAGAGAGCCACATAAGAGTTTGTGTGGGCCTCTTCACTGCTAGGTTAAGACTGCCTTTGCCTTTAATTTTTTAAAGCACTAATTTACAATTAGAATAATTTTTCTTGCTTCAAATATTTTTATACATATTTAAGAGGAAAGTAGATTTTATATCTTTTCATCATACAATGGCCCAAGAATTCTCATTCTGGTGGGATATTTTCCATCTCTGTGAGGAGGACTGTTTACTTTTTCTTTCTCTGTCCCATATCCAAAAAATGACATGTCTGGCCGGAACAGAAGTGATACAATCTGTTGTGGTCATGCAATTAAAGACTCCATATTAGAAGGCTGTCTCCACTCCCTCAAGGGAATCCATCCCTTCAAGTTTAGGAAATGTTCTGAAAGAATTATTTGAAACTTAGAAATTGATCTTACAAATGAAATGAAGATTAAAGGTTTCAAAGGAATTAATGACACTCTAGAAAAGAAGAAGGTGAGAGAGCTTGCTCTATCAGAAATAACAATCCTCTCTAGCTGGAACATGATGTAGCAGGATAGACGTGGAACAGAACGGGTATCCCAGATCTGTGCGTGTGCGATTGGCCATAGACAGTGTGTGAGAGAGCCCATGGAAACTGGAGAGAGAGAATAAACCCCCCACAAAGGATGCTGTGATAACTGTATTTCAAAATGAAGACGACTTTAGATTGTTATTTCATAGCAAACATAATCCCTAACGCATTAAAAATGGGAAAGCAAAACATTAAATTTGTTGGGTAAATTATAGCTGATCTTTATGTTTTTGGGTCAGTGAAGGGTTTCTTCAAATAGATATACAAAAGCAGTGCTTTTTTTTTTTAGGAAAAGGGTAATTTTGAATTTCTGAATGACTAAAACCACATAAAAAGTTAAGACAATAATAGAACAAGAAAAGACACTTGTAACAAATATGAAAGACCAAAAAGGTAGTGTTAGGCTATTGTTATAAGTAAATATTAAAAGGGTTAACAGAAAAATGACAAAGGGTCAGACAGACAAAGCTTGGAAAGATGGTAAAGCCAGCATATGAAAAATCTTTAACTCTTCTGGCAAGCATAGAAATACATATTAAAACAATTGTGAAATATTACTTCATGCTTGTCAGACTGACAAAAATTAAAATGCCTAACAACACTAAGTGTAGGTTGTGAATATGGGCTAACCAGGAATGCTCTTATATTGCTGGTAGATGTAGACACTGACGTAACCACTTTTTTTAAAAAAAAAGAGATTAATTTACTTTTATTGGAAAGGCAGGTTTCCAGAGAAGAGAGGCAGAAAGATCTGCCACGCATTGGCTCATTCCCCAAGTGGCTGCAATGGCCGGAGCTGAGCCAATCCAAAACCAGGAGCCAGGATGTCTCTGAGACATCTTCTGTTGCTTTCCCAGGCCACAAACAAGGGAGATGGATGGGAAGTAGAGCAACCGGGACATGAACTGGCGCCTATATAGGATCCTGGCACTTGCAAGGAGGAGATTAGTCAATTGATTAGCAATTAGTTACTGCTTTGGGCCCTGACGTAACTACTTCTGAGAGGCTTAAGATGAACCTCTACTATACTATGCCCAGGGACTCTGATTCTAGGGTTTATTTCTCTCTCTCTCTCTTTTTTTAATTTATTTATTTCTATTGGAAAGTCAGATATACAGAGAGGAGGAGAGACAGAGAGGAAGATCTTTAAAGTGACGGCAACAGCCAACGCCGAGCCGATCCAAAGCCAAATGCTTTTTCTGGGTCTCCCACATGGGTGCAGGGTCCCAAAGCTATGAGCTGTCCTTGACTATCTTCCCAGGCCACAAACAGGGAGCTCGATGGGAAGTGGGGCCACCAGGGTACGAACTGGTGTCCATATGGGGTCCCGGGGCATGCAAGGCAAGGACTTGAGCCACTAGGCTACAGTGCCAGGACCCTTGTTTTACTGCCTGCTAGAGACAAAATGTCATAAACATCCATTAGTGGATAATTTCTACAAACACACTTTATTTTTTTTTTTTTAGTCTGAAACAAATGCAATAATTTAGCATTTGCTGATTTTAAGTGGAGAAGTCATGAATGTTTATTATATTATCCTTTGTTCTTTTTTTTAAACTACAGATTGCTATAGAATTCTAAAAAGAACATTTTGCAAGAGTAAAGGGTAGATTCAGTTCTGGATCCTTCCACGTACAAGAGCTATTCATCATAATCACATTTCCATGTACTGATCCTGAACCCTACTCTGGCTAATTTGAGGTAGTATTTGGCATCCTTGGCTGTAAGAAATTAACACAGCGGATTTTGCATTTCTTACTCCATCCCAAGAAATCACTTGCTTCCTAGGACTACTCCAGCTGCCCAGACGTAGCGATAAACAAGAGATGGTATGCGTTGTCCAAGAAAGTGTAGCTGAACGCAGGGAATACAGATGGATTAAATGTGATGTATTGTGACAAGCACTACAGTTGAGATTTGTCCTTTGAACAAAGGAATGAAAGTGTAATGTCCTATCTATACAGGCTGTGAGGAGGGGATTGTTGTCTGGGTGGCACGCAGGGTAGATGGGAACTGGTGAGGAAGATGACAGAGGAAAAAGAAGATGAAACACTGATAGACCAGGTAGCTGTGTTTGGGCAGAACAGCCAATATCATGTGACGGCACTACAGAGCACAACGGGAGGACAGTGCCAGGGCATGGAGAAGAGGGGTCAGGGTGAAGAAGGAGGCAGGGCCAATGAATGCTGCAGTGGTATGGCTTCCAGCTAGTCACATGGCTTGAGCAGGATGGCTCCTATCCAGAGCAAATCCTTTTAGTTCTACTATTTCACCCTTCATACACATTGCTTCTCCTTGGATCACCCCTTGTCCACACTGGTAAACTTCTATTTTTTCAAGACTCAGCTCTGTCTCTGCTGCTTGCTTTGGACTCTCCAGATGAGGCTCACTGCCCTGCACATTAGCTTTGGGAAAATTGCATCATCTCCTATGATACTGTGCTGCAGTCACTATTTTTTTCAAGCCTGCCTTGTGAAAACCAGAAAGAAACATGCCTCCCCATCCTATACCTGTTCATTGAATGGAAGGAAGAGAAGCCTCTGTTGCTCCTGGCAGCTTCCTGGACCTTTGGTCGAGGGGATAGGATCAGCTTTACCTTGGCTTGGATAAACCCCATGGGCTATAACCTTGTGCAAACCTTAGGAGCCTTTTCAGATGAGTTAGTGGTGGAAGAGCATAGCTTCCTGGTGACTTGGGCTCTCCACCAACCATAGCTCTCTGGGATGAATTAAAGGCAGCTAGGCATTTCTCAAGAGATCCCGAGAACTGCACAGCTTGGTCTTGGACTTGGAAAGCTTTATAACTCTCTCGGTCAGAATTTAACTGATTCTTTAAATTTCAAGGACTGGTCCTGGGCT